GGTGGCTTATAAACAACAGAAATTTACTTCTCACAGTTAGGGAGCCTGGATATCCACAATCAGGGTGCCAGAATGGTTGGTTCTGTTAAAGGGCCTCTTCCAGCTTGAAGACTGCCAACTTCTGGCTGTGTCGCCACAGGATACATGGTGCAAGGGAGCTCTGGGAGCCCCTTTTATAGGAACACAGACCCATTCATGAGGCTCCCACCCTCCCCAGCACCGCCCCAAGGCCCTACTTCCTCATGCCATCACACTGGGGGCTAGGATTTCAACATACGTGCTGGGAGGACACAAACATTCAGACCATAGTCATAACACAGCATCTTAAAACAGGAAAGTTTTAAGCATTGCCTCAAATGAATCCATAATTTTAATATGGTATGTTTTCATTATCATTCAGTTCAGAATATTTTCCATTTTTCTCTTGTGCTTTCTTCTTTGGCCCATGGGTTATTTAGAAAATGTTTATAGATATCATTTTGTCATTGATTTCTAATTTAATTTAGTCAGAGAACAGAATCTTTACAAATAAATCTTTTAAAATATATTGAGACTGATTTATGACCAAGTGTATGTTGTATCTTGGTGAATGTACTATGTGCCATTGAGAAGAATGCTTATTTTGCAATCGATGGTTGTGATGTTTTGTACAGGTCAACTAGATTAAGGTGGTTTATAGTATTGTTGGATTCTCCTATATCCTGATTTTTTTGTCTCTTTGTCTTATCAGTTATCAAGAAAGTAGTGTTAAAACCTCCAATTATTAATATTAAATCATGGATTTGTCTGTTTCTTTGTCTTATCAGTTATCAAGAAAGAAGTGTTAAAATCTCCAATTATTAATATTAAATCATGGATTTGTCTGTTTCTTTAGTTCTGTTAATTTTTGTTTTACATATTTTGAAGATATGTTATTAATTACACACTTCTTTATTGTCATGTCTTTCTGAGTGACCCTTTTATCATTATGATATGCCTTTTAATTTTATTTATTTATCTATTTTTGGCTGTGCTGGGTCTTCGTTGCTGTGCAGGCTTTTCTCTAGCTGTAGAGAGCAGGGGCTATTCTCTGTAGGTGGTGCATGGGTTTCTCACTGCAGTGGCTTCTTGTTACGGAACATGGGCTCTAGGGCACAGGATCAATAGTTGTGGCGCACAGACTCAATTGCTCTGCGGCGTGTGGGATCCTCCAGGACCAAGGATCAGACCTTCCTGTGTCTCCTGCATTGGCAGGTAGATTCTTTACCCCTGAGCCACTGGGGAAGCCCTGAAATACCCTTCATCTCTGGTAACACTCCTTGTTTTGAAATCTACTTTGTCTGATACGAATTTAACCACAAAAGCTTTCTTTTGCTGTTAGGTAAACGGTTTTCAATCCTTTTACTTTTCACCTGTCTGTGTCTTTAAAAATATATCTTCTATAGATTATATGTAGTTGGCTCTTTTATATTTAGTCTGACCATAATGATCTGTGCTTTTTAGTTTATTGTGTTTAGTTCATTTGCATAGTGTTTAATTCATTAACTTTTAACATTAATAGTTTGTGTTTAGGCATACCATTTTGCATTTCAATTTGTTCTACCTGGGTTTTTGTTTTATTGTTGTTATTCCTCTGTTTCACCTTCTCTGCCTTCTTTTGGGTTAATCAAATACTCTCTGGTCTTCCATTTTATTTCTACCATTGGATTTTTAGTTATACCTCACTATACCTCTTTTATTAATTTTAAAATATTTTTTAAATGATGAAAATATGATAACACTTTCATATTATCATATCATATCATATGAAAGTATAATATGAAAGTTTACAGACAAATTGAAAAATATAGAACAGGGTTACATATAGTCCCATTATATCTTAAATTATTTTTTTGAGTAAATAAATTAAGATTTTAAATTGGAATTTCATTTTTTTTTAATTTTTTTTTTTAGTTTTTTTATTTTTTTATTTTTTTTAATTTTTTTATTTTTATTTTTATTTTTTTATTAGTTGGAGGCTAATTACTTTACATCATTGCAGTGGTTTTTGTCATACATTGAAATGAATTAGCCATGGATTTACATGTATTCCCCATCCCGGTCCCCCCTCCCACCTCCCTCTCCACCCGATCCCTCTGGGTCTTCCCAGTGCACCAGGCCCGAGCACTTGTCTCATGCACCCAACCTGGGCTGGTGATCTGTTTCACCCTAGATAATATACGTGTTTCGATGCTGTTCTCTTGAAACATCCCACCCTCGCCTTCTCCCAGAGTCCACAAGTCTGTTCTATACATCGGAGTCTCTTTTTCTGTTTCAATATCAAACTCTCAAAAATTAATAGAATGAATACAAGAGAAGAGTACAGTAGACCTGAAAAGCACTGTGAACCAATTCAATATAAGTAAGATCTATTCAATTTTCACACAATAAGGATACAAATTCTATTCAAGTTCCCATAGAGTGTAAACTAGGAGACACTGGAACATATCCAGGGACATAAAACAAGCTGCAAAAATTTCATGGGATCTGAGGATGTATGAGTTAGGTACAGCTCCCGTGTTGCCAGGAACTCACAGTAGCTTTCACATGTGTCTGACTCTTTGTGACCCCGTGGACTGTGGCCAGGTAGGCTCCTCTGTCCCTGGGATTATCCAGGCAAGACTACTAGAGGGGGTTGCTATTCTCTCCTCCAGGAGATCTTCCCGACCCAGGGATCCAACCTGGGTTTCCTGCATTGCAGTTGGATTCTTTTACTATCTGAGTCATCAAGGAAGCCCTCACAAGCTTACAATTCATTTCAAATCTTGTTTTGCCCACGCCTGACAAATCAGACTAGTATGCTGTGCATCAGAGAGAAGGAAGAAGGCTCTAATTTGGAGTCACCCATGCTGCTGCCCAGCTACCTTGCTTCCATAATGTCTGAATGGCAAGAAGGGTCAATGCCTAAAAACTCCCTCCCCGCCTTCACCAAGAGCCCGGGGGGAGGACCTTGGGCAGGGGACTGGGGTAGTTGAAAGATACAGTATTAACAGTCAGTGAGGTAAACTCGCTAAAATTGGCCATATCTCAGGAAATGTAAATATTCCATTTAAAAAACAGACTTACTATGACAAAAATTCTGCTGAGAGACTGACACTGGCTGTCAGATGCTTATATGTTATTATAAAAAATAATCCAAACAAGAAAATAAAACTTTCTGAGCAGGACCCTAGCTCCTACCACAGGACCTCCTAGCCCTAAAGAAAGTTATACCATGAGAGAGTAGTTGTGAAGAAGCCATGGCCACAGGAGTTTCCTTCTGCACAGCTGGGAGCTGTGGGAAGCAGGCATGTACCACAGGTGGTGGACTTGGCAGAGAGAGCAGCATATGGGTTCAACAGCAGAAATAGATGTCACCATCTGGCACAAAAGCCCCTCAAATAATCCCATTACCTCGCTGTCCTACCCCTTACCCAGGTTGAGAGCAGATGGCCTTTGAGATGTGTTTCAGTTTTTTGTTTTTGGTTTTTTTATGACATAGTCCTGGTTTTAAGCAAACGTAGATAGAAGGCAATACGTTGTTGTTGGGGGTGCCTGCCAAGGTAGAGTTTAAGGAAACGGGGAGATGCTTCTGAGGATGGATTCCCTCTGACATGACTGCTTGGACTGGAACAGGGGTGTTTCCTGGGGGTGCTAATTAGAACAGGAAATGTGTAATCCCCAGTAGTCAGACAGACCAGTGTACCAGCTGTCAGTGTGCAAGTGAAATTGATTCCTGGATGAGAGGTGTCTGCAGAAAGATTTCCTGGAGGCGCTTCTTGCCAGGCTGGAGATGACTTTCAAATGAGACTCCTGGATGCAGACAGCTTGTTAGTTTGTTTAGTGGCTTGTTGTTCAGTCACTCAGTCGGGTCCTACTCTTTGCGACTCCACGGACTGCAGCATTCCAGGCTTCCCTGTCCTTCACTATCTCCTGGAGTTTGCTCAAACTAATGTCCATTGAGCTGGTGATGCGATCCAATCATCTCATCCTCTGTCTCCCCTCTTCTCCTCTGGCCTGCAGTCTTTCCCAGCTTTGTGCTTATTTTGTGCAGGATTTGACCATCAGTACCAGGCTATGGCCTCTTGGAACATGGGTAGTAAAGTCAAAAACGTTGTGAATACCTTGCTGGGCTTCAACATCTAGAACCTCGATGGTTGTCGACTTTCAGTCTTGCTTGGGATGGAATTCTGGGGACAGTGCAAGTATTTCAGTATTTGCTGTTGCTATTGGCGTTTGTTCTTTGGTGTGTGTGGTCAGGTTGCTCCATGGCATGTCCTGTGGAGCTCTGACACATCCTTCATCAGTTGTGACACCGTGCCTAGATTCCAACAACATGATGACTTTTTGTCAGATTTTAAAAGCATGACTATTTGGGCTGAAACAACTCACTCTTTATAATATCTGCATGCTAAGTGGCTTCAGTTATACCTGACTCTGTGTGACGCTATGGACTGTAGCCTACCATGCTCCTCTGTCTATGGGATTCTCCAGGCAAGAATACTGGAGTGAATTGCCATGCCCTCCTCCAGAGAATCTTCCTGACCCAGGGATTAAACCCATGTCTCCTGCATTGGCAGGCAAGCTCTTTACCACTAAAGCGCCATCTAAAGTAAAATCTGGAAACAGAGTCCCCGTTGAAACTCCTTATATAAACAAATGTGCCTTTGCTGCAGGAGTTGGTTGCCATTATTATTCACCTTGAGAAGGTTCCTTGTTTACCTGAAGGTGACCTGTCTATGGGTTAAACAACTATGCTTCTACCCTTGGGTGAGAATGGTGCTGGCCACACATGCCTTACTGCCTTTTTCTGACCATGTTGGATCCAGTGATGTAGGGTATTCTTGGAATTGAATGAAACTCTGCACACCTCTCAGATTCTCTCTTTACACAGTGGGTGGCCAGGGTGGCCTCTGTTAGTGCCATCTGTTCTAGAGACTGGAGAGAATCCTCGTTCTGCTGGTGGTCAATCAGAATTCCATCCCCTCTCTTACCCCTTTCAGATCCATGAGAAAGAAGAGGAAGAGTTCAATGAGAAGAGTGAACATGATTCTGGAATCAATGAGGAGCCTCTACTCACAGCAGACCAGGTATGAATATGTCTTGGTTCTTGGGACTTTCAGTTCTTTTGATAGAGAAAAAGTTTGAGTACGCAGTTGCCACATCCCTTTAAGGTGACAGAGAAATGTATGGTCTTGTGGTGGCTGTGTCGTGACTGAGAGTGTGTTTGATAAGGGATTGCATGTCTCTTTAAGACTCAGTTTACCCACCTGCAGTAAATGGGAATGTAACTCCTGACATGTGCGTCGGGTGGGGTCCGTGTTTGGTAACAGCCAGGGAGGGGCCCAGTGTTTACTGCCTTCTTTTCCTGCTAAGCCTTTTTATTGCAACTGATTGTACTTGGTGTCAAGACACTTAAACAAGGGTCCCAAATCCTTGTTCTCACGAGAATAGAAATGACAGATGAGGCTTTCAAGTGATGGCTATTTTCTCATATTTCATAAAACATTGAAAATGTTGAACCTTCCCCAAAAGAGTCTTAGATACACTCATTTGGTTAAAAAAAGAAAAGTATAGTGCTTCACATTTTATTGACTTACTTACATTTTGGTTTTAATAATTTGTTACTTATGGAGAATACCCCTGGATCTCTAGATTCCTCATTCAACCTTTCAGTCAACAACTATTTATGGGCACTTGCTTTGAGCAGGCACCGTTCAAGCATTTCCACAGAGCGATTCTGAAAAAGCTCTACCGGGAGCCTTTGGTGTCAGAAAGTGCTTTTCAGTAAAAGGAAAATCTTTCATATCTGTGGTAAAGGGTAGGATATAAACAGATAAGGATCAAGAGATTAAAGGGAACTGGATTGAAAAGAAGAGGTGCTAGCATTTATTCTTGTGAATTTTGGGAGGAAATACAGTTCAGTGATCCAAGTTCAATGATAACGACTTCTAGGGAAAGAGGAACTCAGCCATAAAATTCCAAAGAAGGGTCATGTCATTTGCTTTTATCCCATGAATGGCTTAAGTATCCCTTAAATTTGTGAGTGGAGATGGGAAAGCTTTGGAATAAAATGGAAATTATTCCAAAGGAGGAACCTCTTAAGTGCCTTTATCTTTGGTCCAGCCTAACATAAAGGAACCCACTTCAGTAACCAGTGGCCTTGGAGCCGGAGCCCATCACAGCATCGAGAACAGACAAATATACAGATGCTCTGTTCTGACCAGACTCATCAATGGCTCCTTCCAAAGAAGTAGTCCTTGCTCATTTCCTTTTCTTCATGTGTGAACAATTAGTGTCCAAAGTCTTGTGCATTGTTCAATAGTTCACCTTTTTCCCTTTTGGCAGTTATCTAATTTGACTCTCATCTTCTAGACCCAGTCCCCTACAACAGTCTAGATTATAGCTGAGTTTCTTATCTATTTTCTGCGTCCAGACCCTACTTACTCTATCATTATTTAATGGTCTTTATTTGCACTTGTTGGCCAGCTTTAGTTCTTGTCCTGGTGAATTCTGGAGGCAGAGCTCTTTTCCTCTATGTGAAAAGCTGTACATGAGTTTGAGCTGTCCTAGGAACATTGCCATTTCCGGTCATAGGCATCATCACAATGAATGGACTGGATTTTGTGTTTGAGTTGGGTGGATGAAATATTCTCCCACTCAAGAAGAAAGTGCTCAGCAAATTGAAGTAAATGTTCCCTTCCAGGCAGCTCTGCTTTGTTTCCTGAAAGAGCAGTTTATTTCCAATAAAGCACTCATCTAAATGGTGTTCTTGGAAGAGGTTTGACATTAAAGAGGGCTTTGCATTAAAGGGAGAGTGTTTGCAAGCCTTTGGTCAGATCTATTTTTGTTATTATTCAATATTTATTAAGTAACAATTTTGCTGTAGGAATTTTACAAAGACAGCAAATTAGGCACATCCTTCATTGATCATCCTTCACGCTGAGATATCCCTGCAGCAGAGAAGAATGAGTGCTCACTTGTGTACCCTCTTCAGGTGATTGAAGAGATTGAGGAAATGATGCAGAATTCCCCCGACCCTGAAGAGGAAGAGGAGGTCCTGGAAGAGGAGGATGGGGGAGAAACCTCCTCCCAGGCGGACTCGGTCCTCCTGCAGGAGATGCAGGCCTTGACTCAGACCTTCAACAACAACTGGTCCTACGAAGGTGAGGGTCCTCGGGGTGGACTCGCGAAGGATGAACTCAGCTCTGCTGGGCAGGGCGTGTGCTTCACATGCCACTAATGGAGCTTTGGATCTAGGGAGTTGACATCACTGTTCTTACTGTGTATCAGTAGAGAAGTTTGCATCGCAGAGGGTGGGGAGGAGGCCATCGAGCAAAATTAAAATGGTAAAATGAACCAAAGAACAAGATTAAGTAGAGGAAATCTGAACTCACTATTCCCAGTGATGCTTCCCTGCTGGGTGCTTCCCTGGCAGTCCAGTGGTAAAGACTCTGCACTTCCAATACAGGGGGTGCAGGTTCAATTCCTGGTTGGGGTGCTAAGATCCCACATGCTGCACAGTGCACCACCCCCCCGAAAACCCCAGATGATGCTACCATAAAGTCAATGAAAAATATCTACAAACAGTAATGATAATAATAGCTCGTGTATTTGGAGCTTTGGAGTGCCAAATCCTGTTCTAAAACTTTGTATGCATAATCTCATTTCATGCCTGTAGCTACCCCATTAGGACTGAGCTAACTGAGTTTCTGAACCAGTAAGTGACTTGTTTGAGGCCATTGTCAGGGAAATATGATTTAAAAATAATATCTCCTCCCCACCCGGGAAACCTTTTCACAGTAGAGGAGAAAGGAAACGATTTTATTATCAAATAAGCATTAAGCCAGAATATGGTGCATATCACAGTTTATTCAGTTTAGTTCAGTTCAGTCACTCAGTCATGTCTGACTCTTTGCGACCCCATGAACTACAGTTCTAGGTTTCCCTGTCCATCACCAACTCCCGGAGTTTACCTAAACTCATGTCCAGTGAGTTGGTGATGCCATCCAACCATCTCATCCTCTGTCGTCCCCTTCTCCTCCTGCCCTCAATCTTTCCCAGCATCAGGGTCTTTTCTAGTGAGTCAGTTTTTCGCATCAGGTGGCCAAAGTATTAGAGCTTCAGCTTCAGCATCAGTCCTTCCAATGAATATTCAGAACTAATTTCCTCTAGGATTGACTGGTTTGATCTCCTTATCACAGTCATCCACAGAAAGAGCTTGCAAAACCTTTACCTACAGGCAATTGGACACAACCCATTACATTGAGGAAACTTCGCAATTTGGAGTCAGGTGATGATTGAGGCCCCTGTTTTGTTTCTTGGTGATGACGTTTCAAAGCAGTAGCTCCCAGATCCTTGAGGAAACTTTCCTGAGTCCTGAGACTGGCAGGAGGTGTATTTAGCCATGAAAATGAATGACACACATTTGAAAAGGACAGAGAAAGAGATTCTGGAAGAAAAGAGAGGGAAGGGAGAGGAGAAGTCTCTTCCCTTATTTTCAACAAGGAGAATCAAGCCTCTTTTTTTTTCCCATCATGTGGCATGTGGGATCTTAGTTCCCCAACCAGGGATTGAATCACACCCCCAACAATGGAAACATGGAGTTTTAACCACTGAACCACCATGGAAGCCCCAAGCCTTGTACTTTTAATGCATATTTGCCCCTACACCACCTTCAGGTCATAAGGGGTGGAGCCAAAATTTGAAGGCAGGCAGGTTAGCCGCAGAGTCCACACTCTTAATCTGCATATCATATTAACTCTTTGACACAGGTTTGTAGTAATTATGATCCTGCAAACAAAGAGGCGGACGAAGTGTGAAATTAAAAGATGTAACACCAGTGGCAAAAACGGGTATACATTTATTAATCTGTAGGGATAAAGGTAACCATGCTGCCAGAAGGGCCACGTTACCTGGGAGTGGATCTGCATGGGGGTAGCGGGACTTAACAAATGAGAGGGAAGGTGGGATGGTCAAGGAATAAAAGTCCAAACTCTGATTAGAATAATGGTGAAAACAGAGGCGTGATCTGAGGGACCGAGTCCTATAAGGGAGACTATGGCTCCAGAGAGTGGAGGCAGGGCGATGTTAGCAGAAAGAATCTGCTGGGAGCCATGGATTTGGCCCCAGCGCTGCATTCACAGCTGTTCCAATCAGGCCATTCTCTGCCACACAAAGGTCCCATACACAGAACTGCTCAGTGAAAGACTGGGGAAAATAGCTGAGACGCAGAGTGAAATGGCAAAAACAGAAGGAGGAGGACAACTCCAAAGAGTGAATTAAAGGAGAAGGTTGAAGTAAGTCAGCAAATACCCTGGGCAGAGCAGGGAATGGAAAGAGAGAGGAGAATGGATTCTGATGTAGAAGAAACAAAAGATGCCATTAGGAAGGAGGGCATTCGAAAAGATGCTCCCAAATCTACTTTAAAGGAAGAAGTCGGAGGGGATAAGATTTAAAATAAAGGGATCTGTGTCCTGTTATCCCAGGTTCCGTTTTCTTTTCTCTGACAGTAGCAGAACACTCGGTACCAGACCAGGCTTCATTTTTCCATGCATGTTGCCTGTCTTTACACGTCTCACGTATTTTTGGACGCGTACACTGTGACACAGGACAGCCGGTGTAGAGAGGCCTCAGATCATTCTGCCTGTTTTTACTGTCGGCTCTGTCTTGATCAGGTCTTGGGAATAGACACCACCTCTCTATTGGTCTTCGACCCAGATGTCAAAATCTTCTTCATGTCCCCCTCTCTCCCATTTCTTGACCCATTTCACATGAGAAATATTATGTGTGCTCAGTCACTCAGTCGTGTCCGACTTTCTACGGCCCCATAGACAGTGGCCCAGCAGACTCCTCTGTCCATGGAATTTTCCAGGCAAGAATACCAGAGTGGGTTGCCATTTCCTACTCCAGGGGATCTTCCTCACCCAAGGGTCAAACCAGCCTCTCTTGTGTCTCCTGCATTGGCAGGTGGATTCTTTACCGCTGGCACCATCTAGGAAGCCTGAGGAATATTATAGAGACAGAGAAAGACTAGGGAGACCGATCAAGTAATCAAACACCACGTCTGTCCACCTGCATTTTTGTGGACAGAGTCCACAGGTCTCCCCAGGGATTGGTTTTTCTCTCCCCGTTGTTTCCCCGAGATGATGTTTTCTTTCACAGCCCGTAACTGGCCCTCCCTTCTGGAATGCACCTGAATCATGCAGGTCCTTCTGGGCCCTGGGAGCCTCTCCCGTGGGCTGGAGGCAGTGACCCTGCAGGACGTCTTCCCCTGCAGGCCTGAGGCACATGTCTGGGTCTGAGCTGATGGAGCTTCTGGACCAAGTAGAGGGTGCCATCCGAGACTTCTCAGAGGAGCTGGTGCAGCAGCTGGCCCGCCGGGACGAGCTGGAGTTTGAGAAGGAAGTGAAAAATTCCTTCATCACGGTGCTCATTGAGGTGCAGAACAAGCAGAAGGAGCAGCGGGAACTGATGAAGAAGAGGCGGAAAGAGAAAGGGCTGAGCCTGCAGAACAGCCGGATGGACAAGGGAAGCCAGATGCCTCTCAAGGTAAGAGGACAGCCCGGCGCCAGGACCGGGGTGCCCGGCTGTGGCCCAGGCGGACCTGCCCTGAGCCATGGCTGCGCAGGACCCCCGGCGCCAGGACCGAGGTGCCCGGCTGTGGCCCAGGCAGACCTGCCCTGAGCCATGACTGCGCAGGACCCCTGGCAGACAGCGGGGCCACGAGAGGGAGAAGAGCCCACCCATCTCCTGTGCGCCCCCAGAGGACACCCGGTCTAATTGAAGGGGACAGGATGCAACTCTAGAAGAGAAATGAGTACAGATATGTGCTTTAATACGCAAGACCCTAGGAAGTGGGGCGAAGGTATTTAAGATTGAGTGGAGTTGTGCCTTGGGACTCTGGGTTCAGAGTCCCTGTTACCAGCACAGTTTATAGTCCTGACTCATCTCTTTAGGAGGTCATTAGGGTGTTTCAGGATTGAAAATTTTGACACCTTGGTATAGTGCCCAGATTCTTCCACCCAGTGATTCTCAATCAGGGAGGCTCAGCAGAATCATCTAAGGAGATTTCTCAAAATACCTATTCCTGAGTTCTCTCCGAGACCTAATGAATGGGGCCCCGGCCATGTGCATTTTGGAAAAAGCTTCCTAGATGAGGACAGGTGCTTCACATCCGTCCTTCCCAATGACTCATTTTGTTTTTGTTTTCTTCCCTGAGACATTTTCATTATCATCTGTCCAAGTTTCCCTGTGCTGCTTTATTTTTCTATGTACATAACAGAGGCTGAAATGAGGAAACCCAGGAGTGCCTGGGTGAGGTGTGGGGGGGTGGGTCTTACCACCCGAGGGACTTACTCAGATAAGAGTCTTTGAGATGCTGCTATTTCTTCTTGCAAAGCGCAGGCTGAAATGTTGGCCTGTCTCGTAGCCCAGGTCTTTACCCTTACTTTCTACTTATAAAACCCCGGGGCCCTAATCTGTGACGGTGTGGATGCTGACAGGTCTGGGTAGCTTAGTGAGGACACAGGCGTCCTGGGGCGATGAATATGAGCGGGAAGCACTTGCCCGTCTGAGTCTCGCTCCCCTCCCCCAGCGCTTCAGCATGGAAGGCATCTCCAACATCCTGCAGAGTGGCATCCGCCAGACTTTCGGCCCCTCGGGAAGTGACAAGCAGGTATGGCCCGTCTCTCTGCTCCCAGTTTCCTCCCTAGACTCTTGCCACTTGGTCTCTTCAACAGAGTGGGGGATGGGGACGCACTAGAATTATCCTGGCATGGGGCAGATTGGGTGGGTGGGAGGATGTCCTAACGACTTCTTCCATTGGAAGGAGAAGCAGAATGTGTCTTTTTAAAGGCAAATGGTTTTTTGAACTTTAATATTAGAGGGCGTGGTGAAAATGCAACACTCCTTGTAGAACTGTGAGTTCAGTTGCTTTCAGAACAAAAGGCGTTAAAGGAGATCCCGCTTCAGGAAAGATGCTATCCAAGAGCTTAATTAGCTCTACCACACTGGGCTTCCCTGGTGGCTCAGGGGTAAAGAATCTGCCAGTAATGCAGGAGTCACAAGAGATCAAGAGATGCAGGTTCGATCCCTGTGTTGGGAAGATCTTCTGGAGGAGGAAATAGCAACCTAAGCCAGTATTCTTGCTTGGGAAATCCCATGGACAGAGGAGCCTGGCAGACTACCGACTGTAGGGTTGCACAGAGTTAGATACGACTGAAGCGACTTAGCAAGTACCCTGGGCTCCTAGCGGAGCCAGTCCCACCAAGACTGCCTCTTCAGCTGCCTTGCTGACTGTAACCCACACTGCGGGGTCTCCAGTTTGGCTTCACTTAATCAATTACTTCCCTGAGAAATGCTTTGCAGTTCTGACTGTCTGGTGCCTGCCATGTCTTGAGCTCTGTTGCTAGGCCCCCAGGCAGTACATAGATGAGTGAGTCCTGGTCCTGCCCTCTTGGAGTGCATAATCTAACAGAGAAAGTTGGTGTGTCCAAAGACACTTTTGAGATCATGCACAAAATCTCTGTATGTTTGAGGCATGTTTGTGGCTGAATCCTAAGTGTTAGAATTCTGGAGCTGCAGACTGGGAAGAGATTTTTGTTGTTGTTGTTGAGTCGCTCAGTCATGTCTGACTCTTTGTGACCCCATGCACTGCAGCATACCAGGCTTCCCTGTCCTTCACCGTCTCCTGGAGCTCTCCCGGGAAGAGATTTTATGAACATGTAACTTGGTCCCCTGAGTTCACAGAGGTAGAACCAAGACCTAGAGAGATTAGGCAGTTTTCCCCCAGGCCACACTGCTAGTGGCAAGACCACGTCTAAAACATAAGACTCGTGGTTTTGAACTTTTCTCAATCGTGATGTCAGGCTCCCTCAGAACCTTCCAGGTCCCTCTGGCCAGTGTTTTGGGATAGCCCACTGGTCACTAAGATGATTTTGTTGTAGGAGCACCTCATCTCCACCAGAGGGAGCAAATCCAACATCCTAGACCCTGGGCGGAGTTGAGGTTTTCTCACTGGTCATTTTGACAAAAGAGAAAGCATTCATTCTCTAGTTGCACTGCAGAGGAGAAGAAAATATCATATGCCCATAGAATGTTCTCTGCTTTTAGCCTGGAGGACCAAAAGCTCACCAGTATTCCTATATAATCAAAAAGTTTCTAGTGTCAGAAGACTTTATTAGTTGGAGTAGAGGGACCCTTTTCCTGGCTAATATGATCAAGTCTTACTTTTGGTGAGAGGGAATTTTACTTTCCTTTTTATTTTTTTAAATTACAAAAGTATGGTAACATATTTACAGGAGACCTGGAAAATACAGAACAAAGTTACATTTAGTTCCACTATATATTATAATAATTTTTTTAAGTAGATAAATTAAGATTTTTAGTTGGAGTTTCAATATCAAACTCTCAAAAATTAATAGAATAAATAGAAAAGTAGAAGCATATAGTAGACCTGAAAAGCACTATGAACCAATATATGGGGGTTATTTTCAAATATCTTTTGATATTGATTTCTAACATAATCCCATGATGATAGAATAGACTCTGTTGATTTCAATACCTTTAGACCATGGCATTTTTGCACTCTGCTTTATGTCCCTAGATATGTTCCAGTGTCTCCTGGTTCATAGTCTATGGGAACTCAGAGAGAATTTGTATCCTACTGTTTTGTGAGAATTATATAAATCTTAATTATGATAAAGTCTTCCTTTAAAAGAGGCATTTTCTAAAGATGGGGGGAAATCCTGAAGCAATGGTGTGCACATTGTCATGTGTGTTGTTGAGAACATAAAATTTGATGGAGTGCGTGTTTTTTAGAGAAAAACCCAGTTCCCATGCATGTTGTCAACCCATATCTCGGCCCCGGGAATGGGGCTTCTGTCTCACGTGCAGCACACCCTGTTTGTCTCCTAGTACCTGAACACAGTCATCCCTTATGAGAAGAAGGCCTCGCCCCCATCAGTGGAAGACCTCCAGATGCTGACTAACAGTGAGTTCCTCCCGTTCTCAGCCAGATCAACTGCTCATTTCTGTCCCCCTTGCCCTGTGAGTTTTACCCTTGTTTCGGGCCTGAGGTTTCCCCAAGGCAGTTTCTTTTTTATTTTTATTACTATTATTATTATTTTTAATTGGAGGGTAATTGCTTTAAAATGTATTGGTTTCTACCATGCAACAATATGGATAACTCATAACTATATAAAACTATATATATATATATATATATATATATATATAACTCTGTGTGTGTGTGTGTGTGTGTATATATATATATATATATATATATATATATATATATCTCCCCTCCTTCCTGAGTTTCCCTTCCACCCCCACCTTTAACTTTTTATTTTATATTGGAATGCAGTTGATTAACACTATTGTGTTAATTTCAGATATACAACAGAGTGATTCAGTTATACATGTACATGCATCTGTTCTTTTTCAAATTCTTTTCCTAATTAGGTTGTTACAGAATATTGAGCAGAGCTCCCTGTGCCATACAGTAGGACCTTGTTGGTTATCTATTTTAAATATTACAGTGCAGTTTCAATGGATCAAAATGTGCTCCACACCATTGCATCATGTCCCCTACATGGGGCAGAATTAAAGAGCTCTTCAGTGATACTAGGAGCTGCCTTGTGTTTTCCTGGTTCCTGGAAGGGAAGAGCCTTGCCAGAAAAAACGAGCTGATGGAGGAGGGTGAGCGGGGGACTCTCTGTGGCTCGCCCACAGATCTCAAGGCCGTGCGCTCTCCACCTTGCCTGCAGTTTGAGGTTGCCTCGTGTTCCCAAAGCAGGGAGCTCCTTCTAACAGACTGACTGTATTTAATGAGAAGCAAGGTTTCTTGGGTGGGGTAAGGCTGATGGGAGAGAATAGAGTCTGGTTTTCCTCCCAGGCCATGACTCTATTGTCAAGTAATATTAACAAACATTCAGAGCTGTTGGAGAAAACAGCCTGCGATAGAGAGCCTTTTTAGGCAAAATCTCTCGATATCCATCAGACACTACAACCCCCAAAGGGCTGGGGGCACAGGGTGTTAGCCATCAGTGTCAGCTTGATTTTTTAGGAAGAGAAAAATCCTAGGCTGAGATGTGAGGAAGGGCTCGGTAAATCACAGGGCCATCCATCACCCTGGCAACTGTGCTCTGAATTGAGTAACACACTAGCCAGGATGCCTGCCGTTGCTGCGCTGCCTCAGAGGGAATGGGCCGCGGTAGGGCTATTTGATGCCTAAGGGGAGGGAAGGGGGGCTTCATCTATTTGGCTGAAGAAGGTAGATACCTCCTGGGCCCATTGCTTAAGGTGCCCAAAGATTTCATTTTTATCATTTTGGAGAACGAAAGAAGTTTCTGATAAATGGTAATCTTGCCTCCATCAATAGATACCACGTCCTTGAGAACCTGGAAGTTTAAATTCAAAGTGCATCAGCTTCCTCTTAACTCATTTGAAGCTCTTTCATTTGCATAAATATGCACTAAGATTTTTTTTTTTAATGGGAGCAGATAGAAACGAGCTGACATTTATAGGTGTTTGTGTTTTCACAAGCAGCAAGCATTTGGAAAATAATTTGGACAAATTATGAAGGTTGATATATGTAGAGCACTCTGTCATGCTGTTTTTTTTAAAAAAAATAAAGAGCTATAAATTTATTACAGATACCCATTCAGCAATTCAGCGTGAAATCCTTTCATTTTAGTCAAGAAACAGTGGTTTGTGTACACTTTTCAAGTTCATTTAAAAAATCAGGGCTAGAGTATATCCATCATTTGGAATACTTTGGAAACATAGAAACGTGAATAAAGGAAAATAAATAGCTTCTTCCCCACTTCACTGTGGTTACTATATGGTGTTTTTCAGGCATAGTATTTTATGTCTTTCCCATATAGTTGGATTACACAGGCTATTAAATTTCATATCATGATTTTAGTCACATCAGTTAACATTTGGTTAACATTCTTTTTATGGCTCTCTCTTCTGTCGTATAGACATACCACATTCCAATATTTTATTCCTTTAAAAAAAACCTGCCAACTTCCCCGAATACCAACTTTCCTGGATGTTATGAGAGGTCTCTTTTTTGGCACATCCGTGTATGGGTTTGTGAACAGTTATTCCTCTTTTCCCAACTCCTGAGTCAAGAACATAGGCCCAAGACAGGTTCTGGGGACTGGACAATTCTTGTAAATTTTGGATTTGGGAGACCACCTTAGTCACATGTTGGCTGGGCTGAGTGCAATTGCTGTATTTTTATTGCTATCTTCTTGGTGGGCAGCATTTATTTTAGTCTTCGCATGCCCAGCTGCAACATATTTTCAGCCTGTTATGTTGAAATGAATCCATGTCTAAAAATACAGAGGAAATAAAACAAACCGTTGCCTGAATGGCCTGAGGTCTGGTCTTTTTCTGGACCTGGCCGTGGACTCATGCCATCGTCAGGCTCCGTTTCCTGCCCCCTCCTGAGTTTTGGAGTCAAGTGGGCTTCCCTGGTGGCTCAGATGGTAAAGAATCAGCCTTCGGTGCGGGAAACCTGGGTTCGATCCCTGGGTTGGAAAGATCCCCTGGAAAAGAGAGCAGCTACCCACTCCAGTATTCTGGCCTAGAAAATTCCATGGATAGAGGAGCCTGGCAGGCTACAGTCCATGGGGTTGCAAAGAGTCAGATACGACCGAGCGACTTTCACTTTCCATGACCCTGATTTGCAACTTGTTAAAGATAATCAGTCTGGAGAAGGAAATGGCAACCCACTCCAGTATTCTTGCCTGGAAAATCCCATGGACGGAGTAGCCTGGTAGGCTATAGTCAGTCTGTGGGGTTGAAAAGAGTTGGACACGACTGAGCGACTTCATTCACTTTCACTTTCAAGATAATCAATGGAGAACAGGACCTGGGAATGGACTGGGGAGTCCCTCCATTGTCAAGTTGCCTCCTGACCTCAGCCGTCAGGGCCAGTTGATTGTCAGTGTTTTCTTCACTTGCAAAAAGTAATACATGTACACACTGCTATATTTAAAGTGGATAACTAACAAGGACCTACTGTACAGCCCAAGGAACTCTGCTCAATGTTTTGTGGCAGCCTGGATGGGAGGGGAGTTTGGGGAAGAATGGATACATGTATATATATGGCTGAGTCCCTTCGCTGTCCATCTGAAACTGTCCATCTGAAACTATCACATTACATTGATAACTGGCTATACTCCAATATAAAATAAAAAATTCAAAAAATGAAATTAAGTGCAAAGATTATTGTATCCAGTGGAAAAGAAACAGTAATACATGCTCATGGAAAAAATCTGGCCATTATAGAGATATGATGCCAAAGAGAATATCACCTGGGGCCTCATGCTCAGAGGTAACTGCTTTTTAGTTTTATGCACATTCTTCCAGATTTTTTCTATGAATATTAAACATTTATTATTTACTCTTTTAAAATTAATATATTAAGTTCCACAGCTTCCTTTCTTCATTGATAAGTGTGTCTTGTATACATACTCATCTATATTTTGTTATGAAGCTGTTTGAGATGGCATAGATAGCATATACCAGAGTTTACTTAAGACATCTATTGATGATGTCTTGTTGGATACTCCCTTCCCTTCACTCATTTTTTGATAGTATAAACAAGGTCCAGATATTAATATTTTTTGAAGGACTTTTTTTTTACAGAGCTGACTTCTGCATCATGAATAATGAATATGAGAAGGTACTTCTTAGTTTAATAACAGAAAAATCTGTTCTACAAAAAACCTTAAGTTTTAATCACTTTTCTATTGTTTGCTTCATATGTAGTTCATATCCCTTTTCAACAAAAAGTCTGTAAGCTCCTTTAAGGTCATCAATACTTTTGCATTTCCACAAATTCTAGCACTGTACTGGGCTTAAAGTAGAAGATATTTGTTGAATTAAATTCATTTGCTCTTAATAAACTGGAGGTGAGAACTTTTCTAATAATATCTGTATGAGTAGGACGTCTTTAAAGACAGATTCATCAGAATTTCAGCAGTGTGACAGCTGATATTCTTAACATTTGGATTGCATCTGAAAGTTGATTCCTTTTTTAAATTGCTTTCTTTATTTTTATGATCATTAAAGACACATAATTCATAGGTGATGGGGAAATTACAGATGAGCACATGCATACAAAAAGGGAAGACTAAAAGGGAAAAAAGAAGAGGACGTCAATTCATCAGTAGGGCTACCCTGATTCTTTTGGTCTTCTTCACCAGCAGGTGAACGCTGGTTCTTGACAGAGGCGTCTAGACTTTGCTCAACACTCAGCGAGTGTCTGATTTCCTTGACTGCTCTCTCACTGTCTTTGGGTTGGTGGATCGTCTGGCCCAGAAGTGAGCTCTGCGCCCGGATTCATCCTGACTCTTCTCTCTCCCCTCCCTCCAGTTCTCTTTGCCATGAAGGAGGATAATGAGAAGGTTCCCACTTTGCTGACAGACTACATCTTAAAAGGTAAGAGCAGCCCGGATCTACATCTTAAAAGGTAAGAGCAGCCCGGATCTACATGTTAAAAGGTAAGAGCAGCCCGGATCTCCGGGAGCAGAAGTGACCCCCGGGTCCCCTCCCCCAGGACTCTTGCTGGCTGGACGCTCAGAGCCCACACCGTGGGCCTCCCAGAGCCTCCACACCAGGCCAGACCAGGCAGGGCCGGGGAGCTCCGTGGACAACTGTGAGCGGGCCCTTGCCTTCGGATGTTGCTAGGAGGCCTGAGGAGGACATTCCATCACCCCCGAGTCACCAGAGCGACTCCACACGAACAGCAGCCAGACCAGTACAAAAAGCTTATTTGTTAAAGTTCTGTGGAGCTGGGGCTGTTTACTTGGCAAAAACAAAGCCCCAGGATACCTTTAACAGTTTCGACTCCTTGAAAGGCAGCAAACTAGGGACATGATTAGCTACATCCTTTTACAGCTTTTTTTTGTTTCATCTTTCATTATGGGTCATAATTTTTGGTTTCATCTTTCATTTAACATATGAAAAAGTAGAGCAAATGGTGTAGTGCAGTGGTACCCAGCGGTTTTGGCACCAGGGACCAGTTTTGCAGAAGACAGTTTTTCCAGGGGGAGGGGAAGGGGATGGTGTGGGGATGATTCAGGCGCATTACATTTATTGTACACATTATCTCTATTACTGTTACATCAGCTCCACCTCAGATCATCAGGCATTAGATCCTGGAGGTTGGAGACACCTGGATAGTGAACCGTCACGTGCATAGCATTTGGCTTTAACAATTATTAGTTCCTGGCCGATCTAGTTTCATTTATAACCATACCCAGCTTCTCCCCTCCATAAATACCAACCATTATATCTTTTTTCATCCATAAGTGTTTCAGTATGCATTTCTAAAACATAATCATGAGATCATGGTCACAACTAGAAAAATAAAACATTTTATAGGATCTTTGAGGGACTTCCCTGGTGGTTCAGTGGCTAAGACTCCACACTTCCGCTGCAGGAGGCAAGAGTTCAGTCTCTGGTTGGGGAACTAAGATCCCTCATGCAATGCGTGTTGCCCCCCTCCCCACCCCCGCCATCCCCAAGTATCTTTGACTCTTCAATTAGTGTTCAGATTTCCCTGTAAAATTTTTTCAGTTTATTTCTTTGAATTAGGATCCAAAGAAGTTCCATACATTACAATTTCATAATGTTTCTCTTAAATCTCTTCATTTTATTTATTTGACTGCACCGCATTTTATTGCCGAATGTGGAATCTTTAGTTCCTGCATGTGGGGTCTAGTTCCCTGACCAGGGATGGAACCTGGGCCCCCTGCATTGGGAGTGCAGAGCCTTAGCCACTGGGCCACCAAGGATGTCTTTTAAATCTTTATTAATATATATACAGTTTCCCCTTCCCTTCTTCTCTCACATTCTTTGAATTTCATGTCATAAAGAAACCAAGTGCTTTGATCCAAAGAATTTCCTTATTCCAGCTTTTACTTGGTAGTTTCATCCTCATGGTTTCATTTAATGTTCTTCTACCTTTTGCATTTCCTGTTGTCCAGTGGAGCCAGAGGGCTGAACACATTCAGAGCATCCACACCAGACCAGCCCGGGCAGGGCCAGAGGACTCAGTACCCTTGCATCCACAATTTTTTGGAAAGCATTAGTTTATCAGTGGTTGGGAACTTCCATTAAGAGACACCTACCATATGGTTGTCTTTCTTTTGGGGGATGTTAATATCTATATTAGTATGCTCAGCCTGATAAAACAGAATACCACTGGGTGGCTTAAACATCAGAAATTAATTTTCTCACAGTTCTGGAAACTTGAAGTCCATGATTAAGGGGCCAGTAAATTGGGTTTATAGTGAGGGCTCTCTTCTCAGCTTGCAAGCAGCTACCTTCTTGCTATGTCCTCCCATGGCCTTTCTTCTGTTGATGAGACAGTGCCAGAGCCTCTGTGCTGCTTCTTACAAGGACACTAATCCTAGCAGATCAGCACCCCACCCACATGACCTCATTTTAACCCTTCTTTCTCAGAGGCTCATCTCCAAGTATAGCTGAGGGTTAGGGCTTCACCGTGAATTCTTGGGTGGGGGGCACAAACATCAACCCTGTAACACTCTCCACTGATGGTCATTCATGGTCCAGATCCTTTTTCTGATTAGATTTTGCTCCATAGGCACAGACAACCTTGGGTGCAGTTTCTGAAGGCTTGTGGACCTCAGTTTAGAACCTCTGAGCTGTACTGTTCTGTAAGGATCAGAAAGATGAATCTTAAATTTTGGCAGGATGAATTTAGGCTCAACAGAGTTTCCCTGGTGGCTTAGAGGTTAAAGCATCTGCCTGCAATGTGGGAGACCCGAGTTCGATACCTGGGTCGAAAAGATCCCCTGGAGAAGGAAATGACAACCCACTCCAGTATACTTGCCATGGACGGAGGAGCCTGGTGGGCTACAGTCCACGGGGTTGCAAAGAGTCAGACACGACTGAGCTACTTCACTTTCTTTTCTTTCTTTCTGACTCTTAAAAGGTTTTAAAAGAGCATCCCATTTCTCAAAGGAGGTTTGTGGAAATGGGTTCTATAAGTCTGGGAGCCCAAAGGCTAGACTTTACCCCTCACGAACCGCTGAAATGTCAGTGAATGTATAAAACTAGTTAACATCTGTGAGCACTTTCTGTTTGCCTCTGAGCAACCCTGTGGGCTGGGCAGAGGCAGAGGCCACTGTATACAAGAAGTAAAACAGACACAGGTGCTAGAAGTTATTTCCCGAAGGTCGTAGTTAATAACAGCCAGTCCCAGGATTCGAACCAATGTGGTTGGACAGCAGAGAAGACCCACTTCATCAGTACACGGAACCACCACCTACCAGTGGCTCGTTCTCCTTCAGGAAGGAAGACACGTGATTGCCATCCTTCCCTGGTTCTAAGGGGGCGGGTGGTTCTCTGCTCAGGACACTGGCGAGAGGTCAGGGCCACCCTGGGCCGGGAGGTCCAGCCCCACACTTGCTCTGACGAGCCCTCTCTCTTCTCTTTCCAGTGCTCTGTCCCACCTAACCTTGCCCTCGGGGGCAGCCTTGCTGCGGAGGTCACTGAGCAAGCGTCATCCCACCGCAGGGACTGCATGACACCACGTAGCCTCCGCCGTGTATTTAAACGTGTATAGCTTAACCTGGATTAAACATGAGCAAACGCGCGGGGTCCTTTGCTGTTGGCTTCTAGTCCTAGTAACCATTGGATGCATGACCGTCGGGCAGGGCTGGTGATGTCGCCTCTTCTCCAGCCGTGTCGGAGGGAGGCAGATGCTGTCACCGCTCATGATGTAGTCTGGCTCCAGCCCTCAAAAACAGCTTCCACCCTAAGACTAATTTTGAAATAAACCTTCATTTAATTAGTATGCTTCATGTGCTTTGGCGTGTGGTATCCCTCGGCGCTCTGGTACAAACCTCCAGAGAAAGGACCTGTCGCTGCCTCCAGGCGAGGCTTCTGGCCCACGGCAGTGGTGGGGTGTTAGGGGATGGGGTGGTACCTCTTGTGCGCTTTGGTGGGTCGTGGTGGGGCTGCCATTGTCCAGACAGGGAGGAGGCTGTCCACAGACTCCTAAGATCTCATTGCTTGAAAGTTCCAGAGGGAGCCCCACAAGGTGCTATGCGAAGTACTGGTTGGGGAGGAGACTGGGAAGTTAGCAGATGGAGAGTGAGGCTTAGCGGGAAGCTGGGCGGCTCTGATGCCTCCTGTTGGGATGGCCGGGTGGACACCCCGAGGTCTGAGGGCTGGAGGGCTTGAGCTCTGCTGGCTCTCTTGGTGCGGGGGGCTGCGGCTGCCTTCCTGACCGCCCCTTCTGACCCCTGGTGTCCTCTGGCTGTCTGTGTCCTCCCCACCTCCCCGCGGCCCTTGCCTCCCACATGCTGTCCCTGGCATCGGTGACAGGCAGCTGCCAGCCGCAACCGGCCGGCAGGTGAAAGCTGTCCTTGTGTCTGGAAGGGGCTCCGCTTCGGCACAACGTGAACTGCCTCGGCTTCCATCTTCTGGTTTGAATGGTACTAATTGTGGTGGATTCCCCAGTCCCATCTTTTAAAAAAAAATCCTTTTTTACTGTGGTAAAGCCGTGTCATATAAAACCTACTATTTTAACCATATTGAACTCAATATGTTGTTGTGTGGCTCTTAACACCATCGTCCAACTCTCCAGTGTTTTCACTTTGCTAATGAAATTGTCCGCATTAAACACAACTCCTCATTCCCCTTCCTCCTTCCCAACTCCTGCCCCCTGGCTTCTACCCGTGTATTTTCTGACTCCATGAGTTTGACTATTCAAGGTACCTCGTATAAGTGGAATCAGCCTTTGCGCCTAATATATATTGGAATGCATTTTTAAGGTTAACTTCATATATGTCCTACAAACAGGACTTTTACCCGCACCCTGTGCTATACAGTAGGTCCTTACCAGCCATCCGCTTCATACATAGCAGTGTATATATGTCAATCCTGACCTCCCAGTCCTTCCCAACCCTTCTCCCCCATTGGTGTCCATCCATTGGTTCTCTACATCTGCGTCTCCATTTCTGCTTTGCAATGAATAGGTTCATCTGCACCATTTTCCCTAGATTCCACATGTATGCATTAATGTAAGATATTTGTTTTTCTCTTTCTGACCTCTCTCTATGACAATCCCTAGGTCCATCCACCTCTCTGCAAATTGCACAGTTTCATTTCTGTCTTTAAAAACTTTTCTCAAGTACTTGCTATGTACCTGCCAGTGGCGTAATCACCTTGACAAATTATCTTGCATCTCAGCATTGACGGGTGAGGAGACCAAGAAGCAGAGACGCTCCAAGTGGTGGAGTCAGCTTGGTACCTCGGCCTCTCATGTACCTAGATCTCCACCCCTCCTTAGGAGTTTGGCGTTTGTATGCCACACGGAAAGCTGTGCTTCATCACACGGGCATCTCCATAGAAGGTCACAGATGGATGCAGGTGACAATAGAAGGCATCCTTGGTTCTCTGTTTCTCACTCCCTGGGGCTCAGCTTTTCTAGGAGCTCTGCTACAGAGCAGTAGCAGTCTCCCCTGGGGGTGAGGGGGGACCCTCTGGGGAAACCACCCCACTGTCGGCAGCTCTCCAGCTCAGGCATCCACACAGAGCAGGGCTTCCACGTGGACAGCGCCCTGGCCACTACGGGAAAATGGAAACAGCATGAGGTAGCTGTACAGATGCTCAGGCTCAGCACGTGGGCCTAAGTACCGGAGCTCTGACAAAAGGGACACCTGCAGCTCTGCATTCCCTGGTGCCGTGGTCATGGGGCAAAGGGCCACGGGCAGGGTGAGGTCCTTAGCACAGTGCACGCTTGGCCAGCTCTTGGGGAGCAGTGAATTTCCCCGGAGCCTGCCTTCCTGCCTCGGATTTGTCATATCTGGGTCAGCCACTCCTTTCCCCCAATTTATCCTGCCAGCAGGTGTCTGAGGCAGCAGTGACAAGCTAATCAAAGCTGCTGGCAGTTAAAAATAAATCTCAAGTGTCAAGGAGATGCTCCATCCCGAGGAGGTGAGCCTAGGAGGAAGGGTGGGAGCAGTGACTGCCGTCTCTTGCCTGTGGTCCACATCAGGAGCTGAGCGGGAAGGTAGATCCATGGCCGCTGGTTTTGCATCGCTCTTTCCTCTGTCCTTGCTCCTCAACACATGGGGCCCAGCCCAGCAACAGAGACAATGTCTAGGAATTTATTACAAATGTAAAGAACTCAGATCCCAATCCCCCACCCACCCATCCTCTACCCCCGTCAGAAGCTGCAGGTTTTTTCCTTTTCACCATGCCAGGAGGCACGTGGGGTCTTAGTTTCCCTGACCAGGGATCAAACCCATCCCCTCAGCCATGGAAGCCTGGAGTCTTAACCCTTGGACTGCCAGGAAAGTCCCTGGAAGCTGCATTTTAGTGCGATTTCCAGGCAGTTGGTGTTTGTGTTAAGTTCAGAGACACTTTCAGAGTTGCTGGAACCCTGACTCTCAAAGACTGAACCCGGAAAGCGTGAACAGTGTGATTAACACGTGACTGCACATGCGACCACTTCTCCTCTCCTTATCTTTCAGGAGTCATCCCAGGGCAAATGATTCTTCAGGCCCCAGTCAGTTTGGATGGCAAAACTCAAGTCCACCTAGGGTGTTCACACTCAGCCAGGGCACTGGGGAGCCAAGTCCTGCAGAGTGCCCTCCTGGGCAGGTAGGACTTGGTCTGCCCAGCGGGCTCCTTTACCAAGGCTTGTCTCCATCAACTAAAGGTCTCCATGTGGGTTTGTGAAGCCTAATCTGATCCAGCCTTCTTGAGGAAATGTCCCTGTGGGGCCTGACGCCAACCTTCAATTGTGTAGAGTTGAAACAAATGATCCTGTGAAAGTGAAATTTGCTCAGTTGTGTCCAACTTTTTGCGACCCCATGGACCATACAGTCCGTGGAATTCTCCAGGCTAGAATACTGGAGTGGGTAGCCTTTCACTTCTCCAGAGATCTTGCAAAGCCAGGGATCGAACCTAGGTCTCCTGCATTGCAGGTGGATTCTTTACCAGCTGAGCCACAATGACCCTGTGGGGACAAGCTATTGTCCACATGGACTGTCCACACACTCCCTCATCTTGTGCTGCCTCTGCTTCAGTGTGGGAGACAGATGGGGTATCTCAGAAAGAAAACCCAAAGGGAAGGGTGTTGGGGCAATATGTTTTGTGGGATAAATTTGATTTTTTAAATGAAATAAACCTTTTGCCTATGCACTGGAGTATTATCTGGACTAGAACTGTCTTCACTTAGAGATCAGGCAAGAGATGTGAAAAATCCAAGAAGGTGCGCTCCTCTGGATGTCTTAGGATGAATGATGATCCAAGTCCCTATGGATGTGATGAGTCTGTTTTGTGACCTTTGAGTACCACTGTGTCCTAGGGACTCCTCCCATGGCCCCGTTATGCAGAGCACTTCATCTTACCAAAGGCCAGGAGCAGGGGCCACCGGGGCCCACCCCTCTTCAGCAGAAGCCTGAATTGGAAGATGGGGGGCCTCATCTCGAAGAGAGCCAGGAGAGGTGACTCTCACCAGGGCCAGCCTCCACGATTAGTATGCGTGGAGGGGAGAGTAATTAGATGCTGCTCTTGGAGAAGATACACTCGCATTCTTGTTGGGGCCTGATTATTTATTTTCTTGGGAGGATGAGAGGAGAGTCCTTAGGCTTTCTGTCCGAGCCTCAGCTTTGCTCTCTTCCTCTCTTCACCAGAGAGGCGGACGCAGAGGCCACTCTGCTGACCAGGAAGGTGCTTGGCTTCATATTAATGCCTTTCTTTTAAAAGAACAATGAGCAACCTTAGCCCACAGCCCTGCAGCTCCACACCCCCACCCAGGCCCTCATGCATATTCATCCTGCTTCAAAGAGCACAGCATGGAATATGCAAATCGGCCAGGCAGGAGCTGGTTGGCATTTTGATAACAGCTTTGTCTGAAAAACCCCAGAGACACAAGCACATCTAGTCCCCCTCTCTCCCCTTCCCTCCCTCTCTCTCCTTCCTCCATCCTGAGTCCCCGTCTTGGTTCCCTCTTCCCTCTCCAACTGCCAGAGAACAGGAAAATGAATCACAGAACCAGAGAGGGGAGTCAGTGAAAGGCCAGGGGTCTGTCCTCCAGTCCCATGTATTTCCACTTCTCTCTCCCCTCCTCCTTGAACAGAACCATTTTGTTTTTCAGATTAGAGCATTCCCGACCTGACCATGTTGGGGTCCCCAGGCCTGCCCTCTGCTCTCGGCAGCCTCCCCCACTTCGTCTAGGCTCCATGCTCCATTCTTTCTCCCGGAGACAAGCTCCCGTCTCTTTGTCCTTCTTCCATCTTTCAACCTGGTTTTATTCTCAGTGCGTGCGTGCTCAGCCCCTTGGTTGTGTCTGACTCTTTGCAGTGCCATGGACTGTAGCCCACCAGGCTCCTCTGTCCATGGGATTTCCCAAGCAAAAATACTGGGCTGGGTTGCCATTTCCTCCTTCAGGGGATCTTCTAGATTCAGGGATCATACCTGGGTCTCCTGCATTGCAGGTG